ATATGATTCTTTAAATATATAGAAAAATGCATATGTATGCTCGATACTCACCCTCGAATCCGAGTACCGTAGGCAAAAGGACTACCATGTAACATTTTAATAAGGAACTGCTACTGCTTTCACTTCAGAAGTAATTCAAAACTCACGTTTATTAACAAGTTGCTGGACTGTGGATGATCAGATTGTAAGTTACCGGTTGAATGCCCTCTCCTCCTCAACCGAGTACCGGTATGATATCTCACTGTGAAAACTTCGAGATCAACTTTTCGACGTGATATATGATATCATCTATGCAAGGGCGAACGGTAGCCTGAGGCTGAAGCATCCAAGTCACGAATTGGTGAAGAGCTTCGGGATACAGCGGTTTAGGTCCGACTGGCCATTTAATTTGTGCATTTACAATGGCCAATTGCAGGCTTCCTCCAGATTCCCCAAGTGCATACTCAAATGGGGATACCCCATACCTGCAACAAATCACAATGAATGATTGTAGATAAAAGAAAATTGCTAACCACATATGCCAAAAAGGTTCGAAAACGGAGATCTTTATGTTAAAATATCATGAAAGAACTTCATCATTCTTTTTACCAATACGAACAGGCAACTTACGAAAAACACGAAGACCTGCAACTTTAAAACCAAATACTTAAATATACTCCAGAGATTTAGCCACAAGGAAAATTCCAGCCATAAAGGCTTCAAACACTTCTTTTACTATATTGTTTGAAGAAACTTAATTGACAAAACGAAGTGAATGTACAACAACAAAAGAGGTTTAAACGAAAGAAAACATTGTATAAGTATCAACTCTTACATTATCGCATATAAAGTGCACCCCAGTGACCAAATATCGGTTCGCTCATCAATATCTGCATGGCTCGGGCAATCCCACAACTCAGGAGCTCGGAATGGTGCTGCACAGTGCTCAGATGCCCATTCCTATATATGGAAATAAAAAACAACCATGATCATGGTAGAAGATGCATTAAGCTGTGATAGACAGAGATGAATATTATTTCAAATTTCTGCAGAAAATACAAGGATGACAACCATAAGCCAATGCAGTAAATTATTATAGCATTTAAAATCAAGAAAAAGAAATAGCATATTTTATGATGAAGATAACTAAACACATCATACAGATAAGCCAATTATGTACTTAACTTATAAATCATTTTATACATGTGTAAATACGTGTACGTTTGTTGGAAGAACATGAAGCATACAGATTTAAGGAACTAGAAGAGCTTGGGTTATTTTTCAGCAAAGATGAAAAAGAAGTTTCAAAGAACAGAATCTAATAAAACTGTTCAGTAATGAAGAAAAATAGAGAAGAAATAAGCACCTGAAGCTGTAGTGCCTCGGAACGAGAACGAATTTGCTTCCTTGCAGGACGAGCACTCCCAAAATCCATTAATATAGCAAGAGGTGATTCCCCTTTTCTGTGGGTTATAAGAACATTGCCAGGCTTGACATCGTTATGCGCATATGGAGGCTCGAGATTGTGCATATGTTGGAGTCCGGCACACAGCTGAGTAAATAATTAGGGACAGTCAAAATGCTTATAGCCATTTGTAATCAGTTATAGCATTAACATGAGAAAATAGAAGAATGCATCGGATCCACTGATAATAAGTGCCACATGGTTATCGATTAAATCTGTATGAGAACATGTTCAAAACTAAGATAGTTTTACTTACCTGCCGAAATATTTGAAGAACATCCGGGGTAGAAAAGAATTCGTTTTTTTGCACTCATGGCTTTGGAATTGTCCAGTAATGTTCCATCCAAATGAACAGGAAATAGTAAATATGCTTCGTGATTCCACGATCCTTGTTGTGTAGGCTAGACAATTGAATCAAATTGTTTCAGACAAATACAATTGCATGAAAAGTGATTTAATAAAAGAAGAAAAGCATCTTGAAGAATAGTTTCTTTTACACCGTAATTACAAAGAGATTCGAATAATTACCTTAACGGAAATGATAGCATGATCAAGAAGGGGAAGCAGATTACGGTGATTAAACAAGGATGAAACACGGATCTCCTCTCGAACCAATTCTAACTGTTCAGTATTCTGAATGAGAACCTTCTTCATTGCATAAGTTCCATCATCTACAAATGCAATCCGAGAACATTCATTCCGAAACCAGATTAATTTTCTCTTTGATCTAATGGAACAGAAATACTAAAATAACACATTAAAATCCGGAAGATGGCATAGCAAATCCATTTAAGATAAGAAGGGGCAAAATGCAAAAATCTGAAATCTGATAGGAAAGAAATCAAACCTTCACAAAACTGAAAACACGGTTGACTCAGTGCTTAAGTATGAAATTCTAGTCAAATGCCATAGTTTTACCAAAAGAAAAGAGATCAAAGATTCAACTGATCCGAAATTGTAATTATCAATCCAATTTTATCAGATTCCATATTCCATTTTCTGATCAATAAGCCAAACAAACCCAGAATTTTACCGTAAAAATTCGTTGGAAGTAACATAGAAGGTTTCAATATTCAGTGACACATGAATTCAGTTAGATCTCCACCCAATCCAAAGAAGAAAACAACAATGCACAATTTAGCAGAAACATGTAGCTAAACATAAGATTCAAACTAATTAGAAACTCAAAGCAATGAAGAATTAAGATTGAAAGGAATATCCAATGGAGAAACACCCAAATCATAATACCAGAGAGATAAGAAGGGTCTTTGACTTTGTTGGCTAAGCCACCGGATGAAGCAGAGGAAGAATCGGGGATGGATTCCTTGACCAGATAAACGTAAGCGAAGCCACCTTCACCCAACTGCCTCACGATCTTGAACCTGCTTTCGTTGATCCAAACGTCACCTCCCACATTCGTGGAGTCGTATAACGCATTCAGCCCTGAAAATGTACACCCCATTGTTTTCCCTTTTGCTTTTCAAACTCTGAGAACCTAAAAAAAATCCCTTTTTACACCATCAAAGATCTAATTTTTGGGGTGTTAGACTTGAGAAACGTGAAAATGTCGGATCTTAATAAGCTCTCCCCCCCCCCTTCCTTCCGCTCTTTGGGACATTTATTTTTAGTTAATTAGATTTCAACGTTTACAGCTTTCATATGCATGTCAACTATAAGTTAATTTTATTACTTTCGTATAAAATAATATTTATTCTAAATACTCTTAATTATTTGATAATTAACGCTCATCACTGGAGCCGCTGATGTTTAAAACCTTGATCTCTAGAAATAAAGACGATTATTTTAACCAATAAAATAAGTTGGTTCATGCTCATCAAACAATATTTAAATTATTCTCTTTAAAAATATAGTTAAATTATCAACACGAATAAAACCAAAATAATTTTTAATAGAATTACAATTAAAAATTTCACAGAATACATATTACATGTACACATTAGTTTATATCCTCAATTGAAAAATGCATACAATTTTATCAAAAATCTAGTCTAAATCCCACAATTTTTTCTACACCGTTTTATAATATTTTTAATTTAGGACACTTTTTTTAATAAAACATTAAAATATTTTTTCTTTAAGATTCGATACATACGTGTCAAACTTAGCAGGTGAATAGATAACCCTGCGAATATGTCATTTTCCTTGAATTTAATTATTTATGATTATGTGCCCAATAAGAACTAATTATGTTAAACTACACTTGTCCGAGATTGTCCCAAATCCATATCAAGTTTTTGTCCGAAATCTAGAAGGTGGCTGCCTAAGCAAGCAGCCTTCCTTTCTTCCTTTAGTTTATTGCAAATAACATCTATCCAACTCATCTGCTGTTATAGGGTTAACTACACGGATAATCACTTGTATTTATATTTTATCCACTTTTGGTCTTTAACTTTAAAAAATATAAGATTTAGTCACTTTTGTTTCTATTTAATTAAGATGTAGTCGCTTTTGTTTTTATTTAATTAAGATGTGATCACCCTGAGTTAACTTACATTAATAGTAGTTAAATATTTTGATATAATCACACATTTGATTCATGTTATTTACATATTCTCTCAATTTAGTCTTAATTTTATATAATGTTAAAGGTCAGATTCTCATTTTAGTCTATTTATTATGCTTAATTTTGTGTTTGTTGTTTTTTAAAAGGTAAAATACATTCTTAAATATTAAACATTGACCATATTTCTGTTTTGATCATTGAGTTATACAAAGTTAAAATTATAGTACTAAAGTTTTCTAATTCATTTTCTAGTCATCAAACCGTTAATATTTTAATACAGTTTATGATGTAATCTTTTTCTTTGTAAAAAGGTCTTAAAATCTTTTCAATTATCATGTACAACAATGTTTACCTTTTATCCCCCATTTTCTTCTCAGTAATTTTGTTTTTCCCAAAATTCATTCAAAATCCATGAAAATCAAGTCAAAATTTTAATTTTTTTAATGCTCAAATCTCTGACGATAATGGTCTGATGAAATTAGTTTCATAATATATTATTTTTCTTATCGAAAGCATGTTTCTTATTGTTTAAATTTTTGGTTGACTATGTCCAAAACCATTAAATCTGACAAAGTTTTTATCCCTCTAAGAAAGAAAGAGATAAGTGTTAAAGTTTTGTTAATTTTATAAATCTTTTGATAAAATTAAATTTATAAACGATAATAAAACAAATTTATAAGTGTTTAGAGTGACCAAAGATGTAAGAGAATGTGATATAATGATAGTTGATAAACAATATAATTAGACTTATTGTATCATGTACATCATTCAAATAAATCTTGTTGTTAACAAACTAATATAATAGATATAAAAATAAGAATAAATTGAGAAAATATGTAAATAACATGGACCAAATGTGTTATTATATCAAAATATTTAACTAATGTTAATGACAGTTAACTTAAGGTGACCATATTTTAATTAAATAAAAACGAAAGTGACTATATCTTATATTTTTTAAATCAGTGACCAAAAATATATAAAACACAAACATAAGTGATCGTATGTGTAGTTAACCCGCTGTTGTATATCTGTGTCTGCTTAGCAATCACGAGAATCTTAAGCGCTTCTTCGCCTTTTACATAAAAATCCCAGTAACTTGAAGTCCATCTTTTTTCCTGGTCTTTTAAGTTTGACTGCAAAGTCCTCAACACTAAAGACTGAGATAAAGGTATGATCTTTATGCTATGATTCTTGGGAATTGGTTTAAATTTGATCTTTTGTTTAATGTTTGTTGTTTTGGATTTTGGGTATTTTGGATTGATGTTTATTTTGTTGTTTGTTGTTGAATTTCATGGATTTAATCCATAGGAGCTTGAAAGTTCAAATTTTTTATGGATGGTTTATAGTCTTTTTGAGATTTCAATTTGGACTTGTTTGCTGTGTTTCTTCAATCAAGAGCACCAATGGACACCATGCTTTGATCGTATTTTTAATTGCTTTTTCTTGGGATAATTTCTTATATTTATGAAATCAGTGCACTTCAACAGAGACTTTTTATTACCTGAACAAATTGATGATTAGTGATGCGTGAAGAAGCGCCCTAAACTGTCTGAAACTTTGGCTTAGCTTTTGATGTTTGGTGATTGAACAACTTACTGCTTAAATTTTACTGCAATCTTGAATCATATTTGTTCAGTTTGTAGGGTATGTGAATATATCATGTAGATATAGATATAGACAGGACATGAAGAGCATAAAAGAAAGAGGACCTAGTGTTCTTAAATCTGGTGAAGGGGTAAACATTTTTCTGGTCAGAAAAAAGACTTTAATGTATTGCAAGTGTGGGAACTTAGAAAGATATATGACGGTTCGGTTTATCTTTGCTGGTTTAAATGTTACCATTACATGAGCTGCTGATTCTTGTATAATATGGGGCCTGTATTATTGGTTAAGATCCTTTGTTTCACTATTCTATAACTGGTCCATGTGCGTTTCAGTTTGTTCATATTCCAAACTTGTGTCTTTTTCGTATTTTCCCTAGTCCTCCTAGATTTTTTACCACTTCATATTTCTTAAAAGTTGTTGAAATTTCGGCAACATGTTACCTTATATTTAAATTTCAGGAGTCCTGGACTTTTCACCCTTGGTGTGTAAAAAGTCATGATCCCACCACAAGAAAACTCCGTGATTTTATCGCATTTCATCCTTATTGCTATGAAAATGTATATCTGACAGTTGCATCTGTCAATGCAGCTGCATAAAGAAGTTTACTAATCTTTTAATGGCTCATGATACCTCTTCTGTTGCCGAATCACCTCGACGTCGTTCTGGTCTTCTGCGAGACCAGGTGCAGTTGACTAAACGAAAGGACTGTGATCGCTATGAGATTGTTCCGATCGAAGATAAACTGTCGTTTGAGAAAGGTTTCTTCATCGTAATTCGTGCATGCCAATTATTGGCTCAAAAGAATGATGGATTGATTTTAGTTGGAGTAGCTGGACCATCTGGAGCTGGAAAGACTGTGTTCACAGAGAAGGTGCTCAACTTTATGCCTGGCATAGCCGTCATAACCATGGACAACTACAATGATGCTAGCCGAATTATTGATGGGAACTTTGATGGTAACATCTAAAATTCTTCACATTTTAGAAGAACTTTTATGTAAGGGCATCCCATCGTTAATTATGTTGCTTTATTTCTATATATGATAAAAATGGATGCCACCCGATATTGCTTTCTGACATTGGATGATTTACAGCATATGCTTTTAAGAGCTTTTATATTAGGAGTTGTTTTACTGCTTGAAGAATCATTTTAGATCTTTCGGTCAACATTTTAAACTGGTCCCATTGCTAACCTGAGTGTTTGGTATATCTAATACCGATGCCTTACCATGTGGCACGCATTGCGCCAATGTGTGGGATCCATTTTCGTTACTAGAAAGATTTTTGTATTGCAATGACTGGAGGAGGATGCATGGCAAAGATCTAATTATTGTTGCATTATGATACAGACCCACGGCTGACAGATTACAACACACTGCTTGAAAATATTCACGGTTTAAAAGCTGGGAAACCTGTTCAAGTTCCAATATATGACTTCAAGTCTAGCTCTCGCATAGGATACAGGTTGTCTCTCTTAATTTCTTTTTTCTACCTGCTAGGAAGAAAAGAAATGAGAAAAAGGAAGGAAGGGTTTTACAGATGGAAATGAATAATATGCATGTTCTTGATCTAGTTTTATTCATTACAATTACAGGACACTTGAAGTGCCTAGCTCCCGCATTGTGATTATTGAAGGAATTTATGCCTTAAGTGAAAAAGTACGGCCTTATCTAGATCTCCGTGTATCTGTCACTGGGGGAGTTCACTTTGACCTTGTCAAGCGAGTTTTACGAGATATCCAACGTGTTGGCCAAGAGCCTGAAGAAATTATCCATCAAATCTCTGAAACGGTTTCTTTATCTTACCTAATTTACTTAGGTGTCTGGTTTAGCTGTTTTCTGGAATCATGCATAGTTATAGCCTTGAATTCTTTCATCAAATGTCCCTAAACCTAAGAGTAGTTAAAGTAGTTATCATGTACTTCCTTTCACGCAGGTATATCCCATGTATAAGGCTTTTATTGAGCCAGATCTCGAAACAGCTCATATTAAAATCATCAACAAGTTTAATCCATTCACTGGATTTCAGAATCCTACTTATATTTTGAAGGTCAAGCTCTAACTCCGATATTTCTATTTCAAAGTACATGGTTGTATGTTCCTTATTGTAGTACTATTTTCTTTCCTCAACCTTACGGTCCTTAGTCCTTACCGCTGACTGTTTTCTATCATTTTAGTCTACAAGGTCAGTGACAGTGGATCAAATTAAGGAAGTCATATCTGAGGAATACAAAGAAAGTCTAGAGGAAACATACGACATTTTTCTTCTACCCCCGGGTGAAGATCCTGAAGCATGCCAGTCGTATCTAAGGATGAGGAACAGGGATGGAAAATACAATCTCATGTTCGAGGTTGGGTTTTAGTTTCTAAGCATTTTAAAAATTCTTAACAAGAATCTAGTGGCATTTGCATAGTCTAAAACCGCTTTCTTCTTTATATCAGCAGTGAGATGTTTGAATCATCTTTTTGTTAGACTCTCTCTCTCTCTCACAAAAACATCCTTGCCTATGGCGAAAGTGTCGCTTGGGTGTTTGATTTGCCTTTTAACTCTTGATTTTTAGGATTCTGCTTAATATTCTTTTAAGATTGACCAAAAGGTGGTATATTTTAAGGCTTATAACCAACTTGCATGGTTCTCAGGAATGGGTTACTGATAGTCCCTTCATAATATCACCAAGAATAACTTTCGAAGTTAGTGTACGCCTTCTTGGAGGACTAATGGCTTTAGGGTATACAATCGCGGCCATCCTGAAAAGAAGTAGCCATGCCTTTTCTGGTGATAAGGTGACCGTGAAGATTGATTGGTTGGAGCAACTCAATCGCAAATACGTTCAGGTATCACATCCTTAATACATGTATATCATTTGTCATGTTTTATTTATCCGGTTCGTGTCATCTTTTGCCTCTTTTCTTTCTCTGAAACATGTGTTTGGACTTTAATTATGACATTCTTTTCCCTGATTAGTATTATGTATTTGGTTATGGCAACGTGCAATTGCTATTCTTTGTTTGGTAAATGAAGAAAACACTGCAGTAAAGAGAACCAACAGGAACTGGACTAGTTCTCCATTGACAACAAGTCTAACAAAATATCGAACAAGTAGCTATAATTTCAAAAGGGATAACTCTTCTCCCTCAAAAGCCCTTGTCCTCGAGCTCACTACTGATCTATAACAGGACCGGAACCCGCTTCCCATTGAGTTTTCAGCTGAATAACTCAATGAATTATGGTGAACTGATTTTGTCACTGCCTTGCAATATAAAGCATTGATTGGGTTGTTTCTGAGGACTTATTAAATCTTTGTTGCACAACGTGTAATGTTTATGTTGTTTGTACAAGGTGCAAGGTCGAGATCGTTTGTATGTTAAATATGTTGCTGAGCAGCTGGGCTTGGAAGGTTCATATGTTCCTCGTACTTATATTGAACAAATCCAGTTGGAGAAGCTTGTAAATGATGTTATGGTATGATTCTTCAAGTTGATTGTCGATTTTTGAGTCCTGTAGTCCTGTTGACTCGAGAAATATACGCAGGCATTGCCAGATGATTTGAAAACGAAACTTAGCATTGATGATGATTTAGTTTCAAGTCCTAAAGAAGCCCTTTCTCGGGCCTCTGCTGATCGGAGGATGAAGTATCTCAGCCGGTAATTTTTCTTTTAAGCTACATTTTCTCATGTCTTAAAATTTACTGGTAAATAGGGTAACCGTGTCTGTTTTCCATCTCTTCTGCTTAAAGATCAATATAAATTGTTGCTATTTTTATTTGCGAAAGCACTTATCCTGATCGCAATAAAAGTCACCTATGAAATTCATTTATTTGGTGCATCAGTATCTCACAATCGTACTCGAACCAACGGGACAAGAATTTGCCAAAGCTGACAAAACTTGCTATTAACAGTAGAAGGTTTGATGGAAGGGCACCAGAGTTGCCTTCTCCAGCGGTGAATCCGGTGAGTACATGGTTTTCTTTATCCATTGTGAAAAAATATTTTATCTTTCTGGTTGTTGGAAAATTTTAAAGTTAACAAAAACCTGGCAACCTCCTCTTATCTTCCTCTTCAAGAAAAGAAAATTTATGAGATTTTTACAAAAGGGTCCAAAATATATTTACAAACCCAAAACCTCTCGATCAAATATATATATATATATATATATCGGTCTGCCGTAATAATGTTTGATTATTTTTTTGTTTGGATTGCTTAAAATGATTCTCTTAATTTCTTGAATGGCATTGAAATGTGGTGTCCATTATCGAACCTGTGTTTTAGGGAGTCGTTACACAACTCTCGGAGCAAATTTCAACTCTGAATGAAAGGATGGATAAGTTCACTTCGAGTATCGAAGAACTAAATTCCAAGGTCTCTACAAGGAGTATTTCGGCTAGCCAGCAGAATTTAGCTGTGCAGGCAGAAGCCTGCAATGGTTCTTTACCGACTTCTCTTTTTGTGTCCGGCTTGGGTAATAATTCACTCGGTTCATTGTTGCCTCATTCTTCATCTTCTTCTCAGCTGGCTAGAGAATCCCCACTCATGGAAGAGGTACATACAAGCTTCATGTCACACTTACCCTTTCGTTTTGTTTTCCTTAAAAGTCCGACCTTTTTACTAGAATATGATACACTAAGTTACTGTTTCATATTATTGGTTTTTACGGTACCATCAATGATCATATAGGTCCTAGTTATCGCAAGAGCGCAACGCCAGATTATGCATCAGTTGGACAATCTAAGCAATTTGCTACATGAATACCGAGGAGAAAGATGTCGCCAAGAAAGGGTCGAGAGATCGAACAAAATGATCAGTGTTGAGACCATCGGCGTTCCACTGATCCTTAGCCTAGCAATAGGTGGTTTAGGAGTAAACTTGTTTAGGAGCCTGACATCCCAAAAGTAACACCATCACTACCATTTTTAACGTTACAGAGGACTTATTATTGCTTGTGGACTCTGGACTCTAGAGGGTTAACACACTTCTGGTCGTTTGGTATGGCAAAATTGTAAATATTGAGAAAATAAATATGAAATTCTGAAACTACTGATTATATATATGCTGCTATTCTTATATGTCATGTTCATGAAAGCAGAACGTGGAATCTCAACAACAAAACTTGTGTATATATCACAAACGCAACATTTTCGTTTTGGTTTAATAAACAAGGGATGATGTGAGCTATTAAATGTCCGCGACTATCTGGCTATACTTGGCCTTTATCTTTTCTTGTTCCGCGGAGTCTAGTTCGCCTTTGGTCGGCTTGGTAAGAACCAACACAGCATGTCGGTCTCTTGGTAGCTCCTGCGGTTGCAAGATCCTGAAACGACAGAAAAAACTAATCAAACAGGGTACATCGAGACCGCATATAGCTGGTATATACGAGTATGTTTAAGGTTGGAATTCCAGGATGTACGGACCGAATTGGATGTCAATATAGACTACAACCAAGAGTCTTTGTTAACTTAGAGAAAATCGAACATAGAGTCATAGCTATACCCTTTTGTTTGCAGAACATAATAATGCCATCTCTAATAAATAAAGAAATAAAATGAAATGGAAAACTCGAATAGACTAGGCCGTGTTACTATAAAGGTGCAGCGAAAAATAACATTGAAGTTTCAAAGTAGGTAATTAGGGTATATGGACTCTGATAGTCAAGCATGATAAAAACTAGAAGCATTCAATGCCACCAAAATTATACGGCAAAAAAGAGGAGGCCCGAAGCTTACTTCTTTTGAAGGAACATAAATATAGGGAATATCAGCCTCTTCACATAGGATCGGAACATGAGTTATGACATCAATGGGAGATATGTTTCCGGCTATAACACACAACCTGCATCAAGTACAAAAAGACCAAAGCGTTTCTGCAATTAACATTTGAAGTTAAACTACTTTTCCTAAATTCAAAATTTAGATTGAATAGAAGAGAATGTTCTTCAATTCATCAATCGGTAGCAGTCAGGCTGCCAAAACAAGCAATATCCGTCTGTCTGTCTGTGTGTGTGTCAAATTATTACAGTTTCCTTCTCATCTATGCAGTCCCAAACTCTGAATATGACATAAAAGACATCATTTACAAGCACACTCGAGAAAAAGCCAAGGTTAGAGTTTACTTGATGCATGCAAAAGTAGTTGAAATCAAATTCTTGTTTAGAAACTTTATCAAACAAGCTTAGAGCAATTAAGTGATTAAAGTAATTAGATCAAGTAAAATTTACAAATTTCTATGGCTTCCCCTCACTCTATATTCCTTTTTTCTCAGTGCTCGCTTGGCTTCTTTCGATGCAGCATAAATGCTGAAATCAACACACTTTTGAACCGAAACTTAGCAATTTATAAATTTGAACACTGACATTAAAACAGGTAATGAATTACTGGTTGTAGAAAACAGACTGTAGAAAACAGACAAGTCTGTTATTTTATTCTTATTTCATTCAGTAGAGCATATTACATATTTATATACAAATTATGCCTCTAAACTAGGAAACTCTAAGTTAGGAAAGATACTAATCCTAGGAGATGTAATCCTCTGAAAAAAGGATTGAAAAACAGAGAATAATTACAGAATCTCTTAATTTAAGGGATTGAACAGTTCATTTCTATAATTCCTACACTCCCCCTCAAACTGGTGTATATATGTTGTATATACCCAGTTTGAATGACAGCTCATCAAAGGTCACTCGTGGAAGGGCTTTGGTGAAGATATTTGCTAGCTGTTTCTTCGTCGGAATGTACTGCAGTTTTGCAACTCCATTGTTGACCTTCTCGTAAATAAAATGTATGTTTATCTCAATGTGTTTCGTTCTATCATGTTGCACTGGGTTTTTTGCTGTACTCATAGCTGATTGACTATCACTAAAAATCTCAAAATTCTTCTTGTCATCTAAGTCTAGTTCTATGAGCAGTCTTTTAATCCATATTCCTTTACATATTCCGAGAGCCATTGCTCTAAACTCTGACTCAGCACTACTTCGAGAGACAACGACTTGTTTCTTACTTCTCCAAGTCACCAAATTACCCCAAACGTAGGTACAGTAGCCACTAATTGACCTTCTATCAGTTAATTCACCTCCCCAGCTTGCATCCCTATAAACCTTCATTGTCCTGTCTTGATTTCTTCTAAATATAAGTCAAGCTCCTGGGGTAAACTTCAAGAACCTTAGAATTCCGTTAACAACTTCCAAATGTTCTTCTCGAGGATCACTCATATGTTGGCTGACAATGCTCACTGAGTATGCAATATCAGGCCTGGTCAGTGAAAGGTAGATCAACTTCCCAACTAACCTTTGGTAGGTTTCCTTGTTTTCTAGATTTCCAGTCCTTTCCTTGCAAAATTTCAAGCCTGGCTCCATTGGAGTTTCAACTGGTTTGCAATCGAGCATCCCAGTTTCTGCAATAAGATCCAAAATATACTTACGCTGGTTTATGACCAGCCCTTCCTCGGACCTTGCAACTTCCATACCTAGGAAATACCTCATACTCCCTAAATCCTTGGTTTCAAACTCCTTTGCAAGATTCATCTTTAGTTTTCTATTTCTTCTATATCACTGTCAGTTATAATCATATAATCTACATAGATAATTATGAGGGTTATCTTACCACTCGGTGTAATTTTTCTGAATAATGTGTGATCCGCTTGGCTTTGTTTGAAACCATTCTGTGCCATAGCCTTAGCAAACCGATCAAACCAAGCCCTGAGAGACTGTTTTAAGCCATATAAGGATTTATAGAGCTTGCACACAGTTTTCTTAGTGACCTTTCCTTCTAATCCGGGGGGACTTCCATGTATACCTCTTCTTCAAGGTTCTCATTCAGAAAAATATTCTTTATGTCCAGCTGATGCAATTTCCAGTCCATGTTAAGCTACTGATAACAATATTCTGAAGGTATTCAATTTTGCAACCAGTGTAAAAGTCTCATGGTAGTTGATGCCATAGGACTGAGAAAAGCCTTTAACAACCAGCCTTGCCTTGTATCTTTCCACACTCTCATTCGAATGATATTTGATTGTGAATATCCACCTGCATTCAACAACTCTCTTCCTTTTTGGAAAATATGTCAAACTCCATGTCTTATTCTTTTGCAACGCTTTTATCTCCTCTTCCATAGCCTTTTTCCACTCAGGAGATTGAAATGCTTCTATCATATTTCTTGGGATTTTCACACTGTTAATGCTGGCAGTGAAGGCCCTGAAATTAGACTGTAATTTCCCATATGCAACATACTTATTTATGGGATGAGCAGTGCATTTTCTTACCCCTTCCTAATAGCAATAGGAAAGTCATCAAGATCAACAATAGTAGCCTCTTGGTAACCATCATTACTTTATGTTTCAGCTGCAACAGGATCCGAATCTGGTTCTTGGCAAATGCTAGGTTGACTGATTTCTTCAGTAACATCTTTCCTTCTTCTTGAGTAAACACTGAGTTATTTCGGTTGGGGAGTTAAGGTTTCAGGGTCATTATTAGGTGCATTTTTGGTAGTGGTGGAAGGTATTTTGCACAGACTAGAGTGTTGAGATAAGGAGGAAGGTAATTCATCAGAGTTATTTAGGTTATTCCCATCACCCTCACTAGGAACTGGGACAGTGCTAGCCGGCTTTGGAGAGACAATAATAGGTAAATAAAGGATAAGCTGTAAAGATATATCGGTTTAAACAGGCTGAAATTCCTTGTAACTCTCCCCCTGAATTTATGTTCCTGAAAAATAAGGTTGGTTTTAAAAAAAATGTAACATCAAAGGAGACATAGGTCTTTTTTATAGAATGTGAGTAACACTTGTAACCCTTCTGACTCGAAGAATAGCCCAAGAATACACACTTTATGGACCTAGGATCTAATTTCCCTCTGTTGTGGATATGAAAAAAGGTTGTACACCCAAACACCCAAGGAGAAAGACTTGAGTTTAAATGTTTAAAATGGGGATAATGTTGAAACGGAACCTTAGTAGGAATTTTGAAATCTAAGGTCTTACTTGGCATTCTATTGATGAGGTAAGTGGCTGTAAGAAGAACTTCCCCCCAAAGATACTTAGGAGCATTAGCAGCAAACATAAGAGACCTAATAACCTCTAGAAGATGTCTATTTTTCTTTTCTGCTACCCCGTTTTGTTGAGGTGTGTTGACACAAGAAGTAAGGTGAACAATGTTCTTTTCCTTAAAGAAATACCCAAGAGTTTTATTCAAATACTCACTTTCATTGTCACTCCTTAGAATTTTGATTCTTGTGTCAAATTTGGTTTCAACTTTTTGATACAAACTTTTAAAGAGATACTCAACCTCAGACTTTTCTCTTATTAAGAATACCCATGTCCTAGAGTAATTGTCTATAAAAGACACAAACCACTTATACACATAAATACTTTTGACAAGACAAGGGCCCCAAATGTCACTATGAATGATGGAAAAAGGTGTTGTTGGTTAAAATTTGGCTGCAATATATGGTTTTCTGGTGTGTTTGGCTATTTGACAAATTTCACAGGAAAAAAAAGATGGATTTTTATTTATAAATAAGTTCGGTAACATTTTGGAAAGATAGCAAAAATTAGGATGACCTAATCTAGAGTGTCATAACATAATTTTATTGGTATTGAGATCAGAAGATAAAATTGGTTTCCTAAGAGCATTGGATAAGGCATGATTATGAGATGCTTTACCTCCAAGGGTGTACAGTCCTTTGCCCAACCTAGCACTGACAATCACCCTCTTCTAGCCATGTGCCTGAAAAATGCAACCACCAGTACCAAACACAACATTACAACTAGAATCTTTAATTAATTTGCTATTTGACAACATATTGCATGCAAGTCTAGGTACATAGAGGACATTATGAAGTAGTAGATTTTTGTTTAATGTTACAGAACCACTCCCTTTGACTGTAGTGAGAGATCAATCTGCTATTTTGATAGAAGCTAATAAGCTGCTTTCACTATATTCCTCCAAGAGATCAATATTTCCTGTCATATGATCTGATGCACCCGAGTCTATTATCCATTGAACCGAGGAAGCATATGGATTATTTTCATCAGTAGTAGTATAAGTCACATTGGTAGGCTTGGCTGTCATACTGCTCAAAATCTGCTGCAGCTCATCCTCTATCTGTTTCTTGTTAAAACTGCTTGAGGAATCATCTTGAGAGGCAATATGGGCCTCCTTTTGAAATATGGACCGTGTGGGCTGTCAATCAGTTGGTTTTTCGTGTAGCTTCCAACATTGATCTATCATATGGCCTGGTTTCTTACAATGTTCACACCAGAGGCGATTTTTCCTCTGCTGCTCTGAAAATCTGAAATCTAAAAATCAGATTGAGAGGGGCTGGTCTGGGAAGTGATTTTAGATGCTAAGGGATCTGGATTAGTCATATAAAAAAGAGTTAAACAAGAATTGATTTAAAGAGAAGCAGAAATCGGATTGATCGCTCTGCTCTGATACCATGTAGAAAACAGACTGTAGAAAATAGACAAATCTGTTATTTTATTCTTATTTCATTCAGTATAGTATATTACATATTTATATACAATTTATGCCTCTAAATTAGAAAACTCTAAGTTAGAAAAGATACTAATCATATGAGATGTAATCCCTTGAAACAAAGGATTGAAAAATAGAGAATAATTATAGAATCTCTTAATTTAAGGGATTGAACAACTCATTTCTATAATTCCTACACTGTCACTCATATTATGTCATAACTCAACATATTTTACCCGAACTGGACGAAGAGCATAAGATATCATATATTCAGATAATCATGCTCAATATTTAAGTCCAAATATTTGTTGGAAAAAAGTGTTGCACATGAAAACTTCCGTACAAGAGAAAAATCCGGATAGCAGAGGTGTTAAGAATCCTTCACTTAAACTTATTTTGGCATATCCGATCGTAAATATGCTTTTAAAACATGCTTGAAAATGGACAACAGGAAAGCATATACATAGAATCTGAAAAAAATATTATATATATATACCCTTTATGACCACGACAAATGCTTTTAACCACTTCCTTTACTCCTCTCTTCAGACACTTGTTCTCAACAGCTACATCAATAAAAACAATACATTCTTTAAATATTCATACACCACCAAAAATCCCACTATTAGAGCTTTGGGTTTCACTGTTTATGGCCAAAATAACCAAAAGAGCTATAAATTATTCCATTTTTTTTCTCAAGTAACTCATTATCTGTTTAAAATACATAAGTAAGAACTTATCTTTTGATTTACACTGAATAAATTCTTGCTTCAAGTGAAAGAAAGTTTCAAGATAAAAGTTTATTGAACCATTAAAGGTTTAAATTTTTTCCCCAAAACATTGCACCATTAAAAAAATAAAAATCCCCAATGATGATTATACCTTAGCGGATGAGCTTGAGGGTTTTCTTGCAGAGCTTTTTGCCGGCAAGTGGCTTTGCAAAGGGAGCAATAACTAACATCTTCTTCCTTTCCTTCTCCTTCCGTCGTGACTTCTCTGCTTCACTATCACTTCCCATTTCTCTCTTCTCCTTCTTTTCTCTCTTTTAAGATAGACAAAGCACTTTAAAAAAGAAAGGGAATTTATAGGGTTTTTAAGTTTTAATAATTAGGTGATCAAAACAGAAACGAAGTAATAGATATTGATTAAATAGGTAATTTACCCTAATATAATTCTAGCCCGTATAAATATATGAACCCTAAAACTCAATGGCTTTAACCTATCTTTACAAAATTGGGCCTAAATTGCAATTAATCTAAATCATGTAAGCTTTTATCTTCATCTAAAATTGGACCTAAATTGCAATTAATCCAAATATATTTTTTTATGAAACGAAAATAAACGGTAAAATTGACTCAATAAGCCATGCGAGTAAAAAAACTTAGCCTATTAACATATCTTTAAAATTAATTTGGGATTTTATGATAAATAGTACAATATAAGATAAATTCGTTAAATTCATATGACCAATTTGTCCAAATAAATTTTTATATCCGAATTTGTCACGAGGTGATAAATTCAAAAAATATAATTCTTATTAAAATTTTGTTATATCTAAATAAAAAAAATTAATAAAAAATTATATTTATTTACTACAACAAATGTCTGAAATCCAACTGCGAAAAGAGAAGAAAAACTGATGCCACGTAGGATGAAACGTGATTGGAATGGGGCCCGGTCCGACAAGATGGTGATGCGTCAATTGTTGTTGAGACATACAAAACTGGTGATGCAGTTTTGCATAATGCGAGGGGGAGGGTCCCCACCCCCACAGCCCATGAAGTGTCGTTTTGGAGGTTATTCACCCAAACAATAAAGGGAACTCGGCATTCGCTCCCAAACTAGTTCCTCGCTTAGGCCAACAACATTGTTCATCAAACAAATTTTATTTTATAAATAAGTGACATCTTAGATTGTTATGTATAAAAGTAGGGTGAATTAAAATATATGGAATTACCGATCCCATCTGATCGGTTTGCAAAGCTGTTCATCTTTATTTTCTCGTATTATTTTAAGTCATTAGTCCTAGACCGATTAAGAGTATTCTTCTTTCTTTTATAATATTCTTTCTCATATCTCTACTTCAGGAAAAATTATAATTAGAATTAGGATATGTGACTTTTTATTCAAAAAAAGTCAAGATAAATTATATCGATGGTCGTTGAATTTTAGAACGTTTTCACTTAGATCATCAAATTTTTAAAATTTGTATTACCAACTTTTAATTCACTTTTGTTATGCTCCTTAATGTTAGTTGTAATTAAAATTATTGACGTTGGATATTAAAAAATTCTAAACTTTTTTTTTTTCAAATTGACAACCATTGCTCTTTCGTTCGTCGTTTTTATTATCAGTGTCCTCAACCACAACTAATCACTAATAACAACATGTAATAAACAACAAGAAAAACAAATAAAGAAGTAAATGAAAAAAATTAAGATAAAAGAAAAAGTATTTATCTTACCTTGACGAGTTTTCAATGAAGAAAAGGATCTCCGATAACATCCAATGATGAAAAGTTTTTGTTTGACTAAATAGTTATAACTTCTTTCGTACCAAAGCCTAAAAATTGTGTACATTTCATGGTTTATAATTTTTTTAATTTATTGATAATGTATATCTGTCTATATAAATACAAATATTTAAACTCGAATATCCTGATATAAGATTAATAACCTTTAATGAATTCAATTTCATGAATCCTTTTGCTGGTGGGACAGTCCATGTTTCTTTTGTCAGCACTCAGGATCCTCTTGCATTAAGGCAATGGACCAACAAATCTCTCCATTTCACAAATCTCTCTCGCACACTACTCTTCTTTCTTTCTCCATTTCACGATTCTCCATTAATGGCGAAAACCTCTCAAGACACCTGCAAAATACACAGCTTCCACTGGACCAACAAAGTTGGAACCGAAGACGACGGCGACGATGTAGAACAAGGTTCAACGCTCAAGCACCCATATTCAAACCCCAACGATCAACAAGACAAGAACCAAGCAGAATCCCTTAAACCTAAAGCCCATGTTGGTGTTCCCACACCCAGGAAGAAGAAGCTTCAAGCTGTCGCCATTGCCAGGCTCCGAGCTGTTCTCACTTCTTTTGGGAAGAACCGTTTAAACTTGCCCTTCGGTACTGGTGGTCTCGGACCTCGAGTTGTCGGCACCCTTTTTGGCGCCAGACGAGGCCACGTCCACTTCGCTTTTCAGAAACAACCGGATTCCGCACCAGCTTTCCTCGTTGAACTCGCCACCCCCATTAGCGCCCTGGTTCGGGAAATGGCGTCCGGGTTGGTACGGATTGCTTTGGAATGCGATAAGAAAGAAGATGAAGATGAGAAAAAAGCTACGAGGTTACTCCAAGAGCCAGTTTGGAGAGCGTATTGTAACGGAAAGAAAAGTGGGTTCGCAACGAGAAGGGACTGTGGGGCTAAAGAATGGAACATTTTGAAAGCCGTGGAACCAATCTCCATGGGAGCTGGGGTTTTACCGGCGACTGAACCAAACGCCGGAGCCGGCGACTGTGAGCTTATGTATATGAGGGCTAAGTTCGAGAGAATTGTTGGGTCTAGAGATTCTGAAGCTTTCTATATGACGAATCCTGACAGCAATGGAGCTCCTGAACTTAGTATCTATTTGCTCAGAGTCTGAAAATCACCATGGAAGCTAAGCATTTTCATTGAGTTTTCGTTTTCAGTTTTAAGAAGGGGTATACCAGGTTGATTTTTCTTATCTTTTTTTCACTGTTTATCGCAGCCATGGAAAGGGAGCTCTCTAGTTTCTTGGGATTCTTTTAGTTTATATGGAGGGGCCATACATTATGAATATATATGTATGTATCGTTTTCTTCTTCAATGCATTATCAAAGTAATGAGACAATGAAGATTGAAGTTAGTGCACTCGATGACTATCTTTACATTTCTTTCTTTCTTTTGTTACATTTCATTTTCTTTTATATGCTAAAGTTAAAAATAAAATCGCATTACTCACCCAAAGAATATTTTATATTCATAAATATTTAAAATTTAATTAATATTTTTTATTATTTAGTAATTTGTGCAGATTTATGCCTAGAGAATTTACTAAACCTAATCATCGAAGTTATCAAAAGACAAATATGTAATAATAAAAAACTCCAAAATCCAGATATAAAACAATGCTCTTTCTTATTTGTTGACTGCTTTTTCACTTTTGATTTCCTGCCGGCTCATGCAAGCTTCACTCTTACAATCTGTTCCACACTAACTGACCTTTTCGAGTTCATTCTATCCATACGTTCCTCGTTGGGTTGGACTAAATCGAATTAAAATATTTTTATTTAACAGATAATAATTTAGATTAGATCGAATAAATCTAAATTATAAAAGTTTGAGTTTACAGAAATCATCCAAAATCATTCTTCAACATTATTTTTTTAAATAATAATATAATTTGAAGTGATCATATGTGATATATGATAACTTCAAATTATACGAGAACAGTGATTTCGTGGAATGTGGGTTACAGCTCGAATATATGTTTAGAAACAAAAGTGCTTTAAGGTGATAACATGCACAGAAACCGAAGTGAGATGATGTGTTTTGTGTTTCTGTAGTTGATGATCTACTAATCATTCTTCAAAAGATTCAAAAGTTGCCTGCTCCTTTACCCTTTACCTTTGCTGCATGCATTACTGCTCTGCACTTTACCTTATTATTAGCCCACTCTTCTTTTGCTTTTCGCCATTATTAAGCACTCCATTCATAGGTGTATATGTATATGTATATATATGTATATGTATATGTATATGTATATGTATATGTATATGTATATGTATATGTATATGTATATGTATATGTATATGTATATGTATATGTATATGTATATGTATATGTATATGTATATGTATATGTATATGTATATGTATATGTATATGTATATGTATATGTATATGTATATGTATATGTATGTATATGTATATGTATATGTATATGTATATGTATATGTATATGTATATGTATATGTATATGTATATGTATATGTATATGTATATGTATATGTATATGTATATGTATATGTATATGTATATATATGCATTAAACCTAGGTTGGATCCAAGTAAAATTAAAATTTTGGACCTAATTCTTAAATTTTTGGATCCGTCAATATATATATATTATATTCGAATATGTGTTAAGACACAAGTGTTTGAATAACTTGAACTGAATTTAGTGATGAAAACAAGTGACTGATCTTTCAAGCTAGGCAACATTTCAGAAATAAGTCTCGTATGCAATGAGAAAAGCAGAAACTTTCTGTCATTTTCTTGCGAAAATTCTAAGAAGAAAACAAGAAACGCAGATAATGTTCGACATTTATGGGGAAAGGACGAGAATAATGTCCCAACAGCATGTCGTAGCTCGCCTTATGTTTATTGCTAAAGCAAAACTAATGGTGGGAGACGCTCATCAAGATCATGAAGTCAATGAATTTTCAGTGTGCTGTGTTCAAATACTGGTTCATTTATTGGTAAGATTTATTTTCCTTGTCAAATAGCTCTCTTCAGTGAGTCCACTCGGTCATTATTCGGTATCGAACAAAAAGGTTTTAATGAAGTGACATCCATTGTTCTGTTGGTCATCATGTTTCCTTGCTTTTTCAGGACAATATCATCACATTATAACAATAAGTTTTTAACACTAACCTATGTGTAAACGTTAGATTAAATGTACCCAACCAGACAATAATATGTGACTGATTGTGATGTTGTCATTGCAAGTAGAGTTTGGAAGGAGCTTTTCTGGGTGCGTGAGAGCAACTCAAATGCCCTAAACCAATACAAACACAAGAGGCCCAAGTACCCAACCAGACAAGTCCTGTGACTTGTTGATCTAACCTAAACAAAATCCCTAACCCTAACCCTAACGTTAATGTAGCTTCCGTTGCCGAATCTTCAACAGCTAACAACCATGTTAGGACCTTCAGCGTCGTCGTCGACAACAGCCACACCAATAGGGACCACTGGTCTCTCCATCTGAAGGCTCGTACGTGAACCCAAAATTTTCGTGTGTCCTCATCACGCCACGTTTGTCGGTCCCCTTTCAAATATCTTCGGCATCAAGAGATCTAGGTCATCTTAAAATTTTTATTATTATTTATATATTTTAAATGTATTTTTATATATTTTTAGGGTAAACTACACGGGAGACCACCAAACTATAGTCAATAATCAATCTGACCACCGAACTTTTTTTTGAATCAATGAGACCACCAAACTTTTTAATTGATTCAATTAGGCCACTCTTCGGTAAAAAAATAACGACGCATCCGACGTGGCTGTTATAAACTAACGGCGATGTTTTTATATTATTATTAATGCTAGTTGAGAAGACACATGGGGTTTTTCACACAAAACCCATTCGGTTTCTAACCATTTTCATTACCCTCGTTTTTTCGTACAAATCTCTTCTAAAAATCAATTTGGTTTAGTGAGATTTAGAGATTTAGAGAAACAAAGATATTTTCTTTCTTGGGGTTTAGGGGAAACAATTGTTGTTGGTTGATCAAAAGATTCCGAAAGTAAAAAAAAATCTTATTTTTTGGGTTTTTAGGTTTTTGGGTTTAGGGTAAACACTTGCTTGATCGAAAAAGGCTTCTGCTGAAAATTAACAACGGGTAGCAGATATCATCGTGAGGAAGAAGACTCAAACATGAGATATGGTAAGCGCTCAAAAAATCTTTAAGGGCTTTTTCCGTTTAAAAAAATATTTTTGAAACTCCTAAAAATAAATTTGAAAACTCTTATTTTCTTATGTTAAATTTGAAAACTTTCTTCTGCTTACTGTTTAGTGGTTTCTCATATTAAAATGCTATATACGTTAGGAAGTTTATATGGGTTTGTTGTTAGTATAATGGGTTTACTTCTTACTGATTGCACAAATGAGAATAATATATATGAGGTTATATGGCTTTTCTTATGCTTACTGCTTACTTATTGCACGAATGAATTTACTTTTAGTATATATGGGTTTACTGCTATATATGTTAAGGAGATTAATATATATGTTTATTAATGATATGTTTATTGATAGAATATATGTTCCGATAAAATAATTTTTTTATAGAATATATGTTCTGATATGTTTATTTGGATAATTTATATTTTTTGATAGAATATATGTTGTGATAGAATTATTTGTTTGCATGAATAGATATGCTTTGCATGAAATCAATGAATATATGTACTGCATGTATATGTTCTGCGTGAATATATGTGTTTAGTGAATTTTAGCATGTTGACTTTATTATGTTGGGTGTCCATATAATTAATATCACTTTTGCACTTTTGTAGTTATTTTTTTCACATATTATATTTGTCTATTTATATCACTTTTGCAGTGCACATGTACAAACATGCAACTTTGCAATTGTTGTGGTCCCCACATGTTATGTGTTGCTATTAGTATAGTATTTTGAATGTGATCCCCACATGTTATGTGCTTGAATCTATTATTTGAAAAGTTCTTTTTTGTCTCTTTTGATATATTGTTAGTATATTCAGTTGTAGTTAAATATTCATTAATTATTTGAATAATAATGAAAAAATTTCATTAACAGATTTGAATTCTAAAAAAAGTATAACTGTAGTACATCATGGGGTTTTTTTTTGTTAAGAGACCAAGGCTGGAATACATTGGCATACTAGTGGACTACTTTGATAACTGTGATACTGATGAAATGTCTATCTTTGTAATTATTGATATGATAACTTTTGATAGGGATATCCTTGAAATGCTTAGGGTTTTACCTAGTGACCATAACATTCACATTTATTTGGAAGGCATTGAAAGACTTAATGAACATAATCAACACTGGTCTGAACATAATGAACATGAAATTGATGAAGCAAAACCAGTTGAACCAGAAATTAGTGAACCCGAAATTAATGAACCAGAACCAGTTGAGCCTGAAATTAATGAACCAAAACCAGCTGAGCAAGAAATTAATGAACTAGAACCAGCCGAGCCAGAAATTAGTGAACCTGAAATTGATGAACCATAACCTGTTGAGGTGAGGATAAATTCTGAGTATGAAGCCCCATAGATAAGTAGTGATGAATCTGATTTTTCTGGTAGTGATAATGACTTTGAAAATTCAGAAGTTGAATTATGTGATTTGAATATTGGGGTAGAAAGTGATGAAATGAGGGTTGTTAGTGACTCTAAAGATGGAAATTCTAACTCATTATACAGTGCAGATAAGTCAGATGGCGATGATTCACATAGAAAGCCTAGACACCCTGAATTTAATACTGCCACAGATATTGCAAACCCTAAATTAAAGGTTGAATTGATCTTTGCTAACAAGATAATATTAAGGGAGGCAATCAGAATGTATGCAATTAAAAATATGTATAATGTGAAGTTTAGAAGAAATTACAACACAAAAATCCAAGTAAGATGTAAGACAGGTTATCCTTGGGTTTTATGGGCCTCTCCAATTATCCCTAAAGATCCTAGTGATAGTACTTGGCAAATTAAGTCACTGAATGATGAACATACATGTCTTAAAGTGTTTGAAAATGCTAATATAACTACTAAGTGGATATCAAAACAATATTTTGAATCATTCCATGTTGATCCTAATTATTCTGTTAAATCCCTTAAGCAAGATGTGCGTAATGATTATGGCATCATAGTCTCTGCATCTAAGTGTTGAGCTAAGTAGATAGCCCTTGAAAAGATGCATGGTAACCACATAGAACAGTACACCAAATTGTATGATTACCTAAGTGAGCTTAGGTACACAAATCTAAGCACAATCACTGTTTGTCAATTGGATGAGAGAGTTTTCAAGAGGGTTTATATTTGTATGCAAACAATGAAGGATGGGTTCAAATCAGGGTGTAGGCCGATTATATGTTT